CTAGCATGGGTGGACCTGTGCAATTTAGATGGAATTACCCCATTGAAAGAGGCCAAAAGTATCTTAAGAGCAAGGTTAGAAACCGAGCACGTGTTGAAGCATCCATAGCAGAGGCTTACATACTAGATGAAATCTCAAACTTCACATCCATATACTTTGCTAATCAAGTGCAGACAATTCACAATCCTGTTCCTCGATACAATGTTGCTACTCAGTCTATTGATTGTTCCCTAAATCTATTCTTTATTAGGGGGGATTCTACTAGCCGTGGAGTCCCTCGACACCTAACTCGTGAAGAGTGGAATGCTGCCATGTTGTATGTGCTTACAAACCTTACTGAAGTGGATGACTACATTGGGTATGAACTATGAAATTGATATGAGTTACTTCTAGTTCATAGCTGCATATAATTTTACTTTAAATCATTGTGTGCATTTTTATCTTGCAGGAAATTCATAGATGAGGAATGGACTAGACGAGGTATCCCAACAAGGCAACAACAAGAGAATATCTTACGGAATGGTGCTGGGAGAGATCGTCCTAATTTCGTATCTTGGTTCTATCAACAAGTAATTTCTTTAGCCCAGACTTTACTTATATTATACACTTAGCTATGCATATCCTTTCAGATCAGATTAGGAAATCTATCTAGCTTAGTTCGATGTAATATCTTGCATGTGTATACATACTTTCCTAACTGTTGAACATTAAGTTCTTTCATGAATGTTCCTGCAACCTAGGTAATCCCCATCAAACCAATAAAGTATTACTGCTAAAACTCTAAATTTGGTGACTTCTTATATCAGTGCTATAAATTTGGTCCTACAACAGTAAAGCACATTTGGATTAGTGCAAGTTCCTAGTATGCATCTGCCTTTTTCATAGTACAATCCGAGTTAATTTTTTTACAAGCATTATGAAAATAGTACTGAACATGTATGTACATGTCATTAATATGGAGACACTTCTCAATTGATCATCTGTTAGGTCGGAAATCTGGAAAGAATAAAATCATTGCCAATTTCTACTAACAAAAAGAACCTAGCCAATTAATAACTTGATAACTTCAGTTTTGAAATTCGATACCTCAATAATCAATAGTGCCTTCTTCCATTTTCTTTTTGTTTTCATTAGTTTGCAGTTTAACACCTGTTAATTGCATTTGTGTCAATAACCTAATAATACTTGTGTTTTTCTATAACATAACCTTCAATATTGCCATAATAGAACATTATGCCACAATTTATTGACACATTATTTCCTTTCATTTCACTGCTAGAGTATGTTTAGACGAAACTATGAGTGATGATTTGAGACAAGTAACTAAAGGATGCCACACTCGAGTCTTGCAATATAATATGTATGATGTGAATGGGTATCGATTCCGAACACACAAATATGAACATGAGAGGCCAAATGCAACTACAATAAATAGTGGTTTGGTGACTATAGGATAGGGAGAAAATAGTGACACAACTGAGTATTATGGTTACATCAAAGAAATAGTAGAAATCAGCTTTGATGGCAGAAAACCTCTCACACTTGTGCTCTTCAATTGCCATTGGTTTGACCCAAGCAAAGTGAGGTATACACCAAGATATGGTCTGGTTGAGGTTGCTCATGCGTCAATCCTTCCAAAATTCGAACCATTTGTTTTGTCTCATCAAGCGACACAGGTGTATTACATGCCGTACCCATGTAAATTTGTGCAAGACCTCACTAATTGGTGGGTTGTGTATAAGGTGCAGCCAATTGGTAGACTACAAGTACCCAATGATCAAGATTACAATTCTGTTCCTAATAGCAATGTTGTCCACTATTTCCAAGAAGATGGTCTGTTTGGCAGTTTTGTAATCGATCTTGGTCAAGAACTCAACAATGATCCTGAGCAAGTTGCCATCAGCAGGGATACTGAAGATATTTGCAATGACAAGGACTTGAAGCTTCTCAATGGATCATCTATTCAAGATGAAGATGATGATGACGAGGATGATGAATCTTATTGCACTTCCTCATCTGCTGAAGATGATGAAGTTCCCACTAGTAGGGATATCTTATTTGACGAATATTTCTAAGGTACATTATTCTTTTTTTTATGGAGACTATAATGCCAATTTTTTATATCCTGTGCCTCCCCAAATGAATATTTCCTTTGTCAACTATGCACAAGAATTAATCTTTCATAAACTGGTTGCGTGCTGTAATAATATTTGGCAGTCATCTTACTTTCGTAAAATTTCAGGCATACAATTGGATCATTGCAAAGGATTGCAGTTGATTGGTGCTGTCAATACACAAATTTGGAGTTGGTTACTCACTAGCCTCTAACATTTCTCTATTGCCTCCCTAGGAGAGGTTGCAAGAACTGAGACTCACCTTGTTACTATTGCATTATAGCCACTTCAGACAACCATTGATATTGTGTTTTTGTATCATTGTATTCAAAAATTAATACTGGGATAATATACAGCTAATGTTCACCTGACATTTGTGTGGTTCCATATGTGATGCTTGTCTGTCATGTTTGGATGATATATATATATGCATACATGTTAGTTGCCTGCCTACTGTATCAGTGCAGTACAATCGTGAATGTGTAAAACCCTGTACAATGAGCTACATAATCTTACCGTGTATTCATCTCAAATGTCACCGTGTGCTAAATCTCACGGGAAGAATTTAAACATTCCCGGGCCACTAAAAACTCTCGGTAAGGTGTTTCATGTTCCCGTGTTTTATGGATTTCTTCCCGTGAGTTCCAACCACCCCATTTCACTCCGTTCCGTGCATGACGTGCCGTTAACTGGAAAGTTACCGGCAGGGTGTTTTCACACGGTAAGCTTTCAGCACATCCTGAGTTCGCAAGCAGTTTCTCACGGGTAGAGTGACACGGTAAAGGTGAAAGGCTGCCGAGTACACCTTCCCGAGAGTTTGCTCACAAGAACGACGTTACCGTGAGTTTTAGCCCTGTTACCGAGTTGTTTAGGCACACGGTAGACTTCCGTTCCCTGGTAGTGCAACTACCTTCTTTTAAATAGATATATAAAACTCTCGAATAACTCAATGCCCATGTAATCGATCATGTATACGTTGCTTTTTTTTGTGGAAAGAAGATAGTACCTTATTTAGGGAGAAGCGAATTATACCAACTCTAACGTCCCAAATTAATTTATCTTCTTAAATATTTCGCAGATAATTTCAGTGTTAAATGAAAAATGGCTGCTTCCATTGTGAGAATCATTAAAGTGAGTCGTATGCTGTATGCATGGGATGAGCCAAAATCCCTTTCATGTGTCCAGCCGACTATGAATATTATAGAGACCCTTCAATTCAAATTGCATGCCTCCTTGGTAACAAGCCGCACCACATGCATCGATATATCGTTTTTGCGTAGTTGGCCGGGGTGGGAATTGTAGCATGCCGACTTTTTGGGGCATTAATACAAGATATATCTAGCTTAGTTTTAACAAAAAAAAACAATAGCAAAATTATCCTAGAAAGTAATGTGCAAACAATAATATTCAAGGGACAATGAGCTGTTGTTGACTTTGTTAGGGATCGATCATTCTGGCGAGTATATTCCAGGGATAGTTAATTTTGTCAAAAAGATTCCATTTAAATCTTATGAGAAATTTTACGGACTAAAAATATTGGTGCCTCAAGGTATACAGTATCTGGATAATTTTACTTTATAAAATATCATATGTTATTTCACAACGTTATCAAAATCTTTGTGATGGTAGCCATGAAAATAAACAAGTTAAATTGGATAGAGTGTTTATTTACCAGCCTCAGGTTCATGCGCAATTTTAGTTTACGTGCTTTTGCTTATACGAACGTTGCACCCACCGTAGTAGTTCTGTTCGGCACGACCGAGTTTGCGAAAAATGCTGGAATGTACAATTCAACCGTGGTGTTGTTTTGTGGAGTTCCTTTTTTTTTCTAATCAATAGTGCAATTTTTGTTTTAAAAGAAATCAGCACTTTATTTAATACTTTCTCCGTCATAAAATATAAAGGATTTTGATTTTGGGTTTTGGTTTTGGTTTACGCTAGTCTTGTGTAACTAGTTGCTGGAAAAATGCTGATAGCCGGTGCAACATTTTCGCAAGGGAAACTGGAAACTTTTTGAGTTACGGCTGACACATAAGAGTAGTGGAGTGTCGTTGACTAACTCGATGGTCACCAAGCAGATGGCATATGTCGGAGCAAGGTCTAGCAAATCTATCCATAGTTGAAGAACTTCACCATCTCCTTCGATCTGCAAAAAAAGGAGAAAGGAAAGACATACAAGGCTACAACGGAATTCACTCGACTATGAGACAAACCCGTCCAGCCTCCAGACCGCCCTTCCCTTGTCTGTGACCAACGGCCATCGCAGACAAAGAGGAGATGGGATTTGGCAAGGGAAAAAAGAACACTTGGAGTTATCTTTCATAGAAGCACTCACAAAGAGATAGAAAGAAAGTTGTCATGAATATAGCTAATTAAGACCGGTTAATTTTGGGCTACAATGACTATACGATACGATAGTGGATAAGTTGAAGATCTAAATTGATATTCATGTACTCCCTCTGTTTTAAATTAAAAAACCTAAAGTTTTATCTCAGATATCTAAATTAGTAGTACTAGATTAAGTTCAATCCGAACATATATTAATTTATTTTAGAATGAAAAGATTATAGAAGGACAATATTGTAAAGTAAGATATTTATACTGTCCTTCCATACTTGTGACGTGAGAAGGAACCAAATTTATACTCTGCAATCCCCAATACTGAGACTGAGCACACACCCACACCTGCCACGTGTCCCTGGTTGGGTGATCGAACACTAGCCCAAACTGCCAGAAATACACAAAGTTTCTCCCCAAAAATAGCTGAAAAGAAAAATCCTGGGGCCACATGTCGCGGCGTCGCGCCTCCCACGGCATCCTCCCGCGCACTCTACGTCTCTACTGGTGTTCCTATATATACCGCCACGTCTCGTCTTCCCCCGCCTCCAATTCCAACCTAGCAAGCGATGCGACCTGCCTTCTCCTCCCTTTCGGCCTCGCCTTCCTTCCTTGCGACTCAGGTCATTCTTCCGAACACCATCCCCGCCTTGAAAAGCTCTCGACCAGGATCGATCGATCGCCATGGGCAGCGGCCACAGGAAGCTCATCCACTTGCTCCGCGCCGAGCAGGCGGCGGCGGCGGCCTCGGCGGCGTCGGCGTCGTTCTCGCCCAAGTCTTTCTCGTCGTCCTCCGCCTCCGACGACGACGGGTGTAGCTCGTCGTCGTGGCAGACGAACGACGGCGCCGGTGGGTACGGGTCCGCGGCCTCGTCGCCGTCGCGGTGCAGCGCGTCGACGCCGCCCAAGTCGCCGTGGGCGGCGCACCTGCCGGGGCTTGGCGGCGGCGGGGTGGGGACGGGCGCCGGCGCCACCGGGCTCGTCGCGTCGCTGGTGAAGGAGGACGGGCACGTGTACTCGCTGGCGGCGGCGGGGGACGTGCTCTACACCGGCACGGACTCCGAGAACGTGCGGGTGTGGCGCGACCGCCGCGAGCTCGCCGGGTTTAGGACCGGGAGCGGGCTGGTCAAGGCCATCGTCGTCGCCGACGACGGGCGCATCTTCACGGGGCACCAGGACGGCAAGGTCCGGGTGTGGCGCGCCGACGCGGGGGACCCCGCCGTGCACCGCCGCGTCGGCTCGCTCCCGAGGCTCGCCGACTACGTCCGGAGCTCCGTCAACCCGTCCAGCTACGTCGAGACGCCGCGGCGCCGCCGCGGGCGGCGCCGGGAGGTGTGGCTCCGGCACTCCGACGCCGTGTCGTGCCTCAGCCTCGACGAGGGCGCCGGGCTGCTCTACTCCGCCTCCTGGGACGGGTCCTTCAAGGTGTGGCGCGTATCGGACTCGAGGTGCCTCGAGTCGGTGTGCGCCCACGACGACGCCATCAACACCGTCGCCGCCGCCGGGTTCGACGGCGTCGTGTTCACCGGCTCCGCCGACGGCACCGTCAAGGTGTGGCGGCGGGAGGAGGAGCCGGCGGCGAGTGGCGGCGAGGCGAAGACGAGGCACGTCCTGGAGACGGTGCTGCGGGAGGACGAGAGCGCAGTCACCGCCATCGCCGTCTCGGCCGAGGGCCGCGTCGTGTACGTCGGTTCGTCGGACGGGGACGTGACCTACTGGCACTGGATCGACGGCGAGGCGAGGTACGGCGGCGCGCTCAGGGCGCACGGGACGGCGGTGATGTGCCTCGCCGTCGCCGGGAACGTCGTCGTGAGCGGCTCGGCCGACCGGACGCTCTGCGCGTGGCGGCGCGGCGGCGGCGAGCACTCCCGGCTCGCCGTGCTCGCCGGCCACACCGGCCCCGTCAAGTGCGTGGCCGTGGACGAGGAGGAGACATCATCGTGCAGCTCCGACGGCGAGCGGCGGTTCGTGGTGTACAGCGGCAGCCTCGACGGGTCAGTCAAGGTGTGGCGAATCTCCGACATCGAACCTACCAATCCTCCGCCGCGGCTGCCGTCGCCGCATGTATGGAAGAGAGAGGATCAGCCGGCGGCGGCGACGGCGGCGGCGGCGAGGGCGTGGTCGCCGTACCAGACGTCGGAGATGAACAGCGTGGCAGCGGCGTGACGGCGAGGCTAGAGCTGATCACTAACTTGACACAAACGTGCGTGCATGCAAGAACAGTGTGGGGCTCACACGTGTACTGTAGCAGAAGAGTGTAAATATACGTAGAATATACGGTGCCTGTACGTAGATTACGTATTTGTCAAATGTATGGATGCGAATGGGTGGCTTGGTCGGAGATACCATTTTGGTAGGAGGAATGGGCGGTTAGTTGACAGCGAGAGGTCTACCAGCCACGTCAAAAACCAATAATGGAAGGGAAAAAAATAAAAGGGAGAAGGTTTTGGGAATGGCTTTGTTTTGTTGATTTTGGTAGTGATTTAATTAACGCTCTGTGTAAGATGTACAGATGTATATAATAATATAAAAGCCACCATATTAATTTTGATGTATGAATATATTATTAACAGTTCGGTTTTGGTGGCAATCCTCACCTTTAATCTGTTACTACTTCTCTTCAGTCATCTGTAGTAGCATCAAAGGACAGCAGCATGCATGTATTCTTCCCTAAATTAATCAGGAATATATATGGCGGTTCATCGTAATTAAAAGTCCTAAAATTACATTTCCCACACCAATGGCGACATGAGATTGTGATTTGTGTATTCTAGTAGGAATTTGACCACACAGAACAAAAATTACCATGAACAGGTCTAGTATCCAGATCATTCCTGATGGACAACGTCAACAAATCAAGGCATCAAGTGTGAAGGACATATATTTCCCTCCGCCCAATCTTACAAGTCGCGAATTGACTTGACAGTTGACACTAAGTCGTAGTACTAATTAATTGTGCATATAAAAGAAAATTTGCCTTATTCTTCAAATACTTATTTTTTTTAATATTCAAAATTTCTCACAAAATACTTGACACTCTCAAGTATTACTTGTCTCATCCATTATCTCCGATTCAAATTTCTCTCTATTCTACCTCTACTTCACTCGCAAAGTCTCAACCATATATCATTTAATGGGATAATATGGTTTTTTTTAAAAAAAACTATACTTAAACTATCTAAAATAATAAGTATTTTAAGAGGTACTCTATCCATTTCAAAGAAAAACAAACTTAGAACTAGATATAACAAACATATTCTAATATAACCAAATCTGGTCATAGATCTGTAGGGAGTAGGGAGTAAGCAATTAATTAATTTTAACTTAATTGTGTAGGACTGGACGACTCGGCAGGTAAAGAGTGTAATAAGACCAAATTGCGGTACAGAGGTCGCCATCTTTCCCTTTCCAATAGCTCGCCGGGGGTTCCCCTGAAACAGGAGTTCCCGTGGCCGCCGAGGATTCCCTCCCCACGCCGCAACGCAACCGGAGATGGAATGTATAGTATCTGGTGTTCGCAGCACCGCTGTTGCGCTGCTGCGCCGGCCAACGCCTCGTTCGCCGCCGGGCATCGTCTCGCGACCACACCCATCCCTTTCCCGGCCGGCCCAACCACGGCGACTCGATCGGATATTGCCTGCCTGCCATGCATGCATGGACGACAACTCGCAAAGGTTTTTGGGCTGATTTCGAGCTGCCGATGCAAGCAGATTCGGTGATGACCGTTCGATGAAGGGTGTGATTAGGATGCAACAAGCCAAAGCTGTTTATTCTAAATATTAAGGTCTCGCTGTTCTTTTATAATTAAGATATAAATTAATCTTAGTTTTTGTTAGCTGTTAGCACGATTTTTAAACTGTCATGAACTTTTTATATTGAAGTTGCTATAACATTTGACCGAAATCCATTTTTTGAAGTTTGAAATAATTAAAGCTCAATTAATTATACGCTAAAGATTTCATCTGACCCATGTTCAAACGAGACATAAGAAATGTACTTAACTATTAACTTTCCTCTATTCCTTCAGGATGTGTTTGGCAAGTGGGATATAGGAGATGGGATTGAGAAAAGGAAATAGATGAATGGCTAGGATTAAATGAGGTGTGAAATATTGCCCTTTTGAGGGTGGGATATTATTTCCCAATTCCATTTGCCAAACAAGCCTCATGGTATGATCGTTTCGAATTTGTTCAAAGTTATTTTTTAAATTTTGATTAAATTTATAAAAAAATTTACTCTATTTTTGTATCAAAATATATTTGATTTTACATTTAAAAAAATTAATTTATTGTTGTGGTAGTTACTAAGATTTTTTTTTATACATATGGTCGAATTTAAGGAAATCCATTAAGAAAAAAATTAAAATGTCTTATAATATAAAATATTATAATAGAGTGAAAAAAATTGTATCTTTAATCCAATATTAATGTATAAAAAATCTAACCGCTCAATTTCATGGAGAAACACTACTAGTACATATACTAATTAGGGACAATTGCTTATTTGACCTTGTTTTAGAGCCTAACTACTAATATGACCCTACTTTTTCAACTTTGCTTACTTAACCATACTTTTCAAAATCAGAACTGCCGTCTTAGCCTATTTTACTGTACCATTAGGGTTTAATCTAGGGTGCAAAAAAAATATTTTATACTCGGAACTGGCTAAAATGCCTCTGACTACCAAATCAATCGTGTCCCTAAATTTCTCACCCCACGGTCTACTCATCCCGCGCGGATAGGCCTTCTCGGCGGCATGACGTTCGGCGGAGGCGGCGCTCAGTGCACGCTGAGGCGGCGGCGCGTGGAGAGGTCATCAGCGACGGTGGCGGCAGTAGGAGCTGCGGAGGTTGCGCACGGAGAAGGGATCGGCGGCGATGGCACGCGGAGGCTGCGGCGGCTGCACGCGGGTACTGAGTAGTGGATGAAACTAGCTTATGACTTAGGGATTTTAGGGATGAAATTTGTGAGATTTTAGGTTTATATATGTTGATTTTTATATATGTGGCTTAGTGAAATTTATATGTTTATGACTTGGTGATTTGCCCATTAGTGAATTACTACGATAAGTTTAGGGTATTTTAGGGTTTTAGTGCAAATGTATGAAATTTGTGATGTGGATCTAAGTGGATTTATTTATTTGTGACTTCCCTTTCTTTTCTCAACAAGAGTTGGATAAAGATTAAGATTTTCGTGGCACACTTTTCAAACTTTCTATATGAAAGTTGCTCTAAAATATCATATTAATCTATTTTTCAAGTTTGTAATAATTAAAACTCGATCAATCATATGTTAATACCACCTTGTTATGCGTAAAAAAACTTAATCTTCATCTTCAGGAGAAAAGAACACCAAGAGTTATTTTAGAGATGCATGATGGATGATGGATTTTAGTGTAGATACTACCTAGGTTATCAAATCAACATAGAATATGAGGTGCTGTCCGGAGTTGGTTTGATCGAGTTAGTGCATTCATATAACTGATTAAGATACCTTCTGACCCTAAGCCCCTCGTATTCTGTCATTTTTAGATATTTTAGGGTATTTATGATATGTTTGTGGTAATTTAGAGTATTTTAATGAATTTTTAGGGTAATTTAGATATACATGTGACTAGTGATATATAATTTAGGGTATTTTGTATACTTTTACTGAGATAGTAATCTTTGTTTTTACTTTTTATCGTACACAGGTTATTTAGAAAATGTCTCAGAAAGACAAACCCACGTTAGCGACTAGGAGAAAAACGGAGTGGATTCAGACTGATAGTGGTCATACTATATCCTAAACCATATTTATTAAGCTAATTCAGAGCGGGTGCGGATAGTGTACGGATGTCAAAAATGGAGCATAATTGGTTCGAAAACGGATTAAATTTATCGGATGTTACGTGTGTATGCAATCAATACAACATCGAGTTGGCAATGCAAGGAACAATAATACAATAGTCAATAAACGATCCATTGTAATAATTATGTGCTTAAGTGCTAAACAATATGAATACATGATGTCTATAATATAAAAATACAACTACATAAGTATGACATGAGACGGTGAAAGTCTCAGACTAAGAAATCTAGGGTAATTGATGAATTAGTACATTGGATGGACCAACTTATGTTATATGCAATAGGTAGAGTCGTTACATGTGTTGATGATTTCGGATTATCCGGCAAACGGCCTATCGGATAATCCGACAGAAATGTCGGATAATCCGCAGCCGCCGGATTTTGGAGATACCGTATCCTCATCCGCATCTGCATTATACTATCCACATCCGCATCCATATCCGTCGGATTTCTAAAAGCCCATACTATATACTCGTTTCGAACGGATTTGAATCGGATTGGATCGGATCGGATATTATTATCCGATCCGTTTTCACCACTATTGGCGACAACTAGTGGGACCACATCGACCCGGAACCATAGGACCCGAAATAGGATTCCTAAGGATCAGAAATAATAAGAGCATCGCTAAAAGCCAAACGAGGGCTACCTCAATTTCTTCAAGACCTAAAAATGTCTGCCCCTATCTACAAAAATTTAAATTCACAGGTAATGACATATCCTGCAAGTGAAATATTTAAGATGCCAAATAATACATCTACAAGACATCACTGCACACCATTGTAAAATTCACAGGGAAATTCAGTTCCCACAACCAAACACATATCCAAGTTCATGAACATTTTATAGAAGTTGATAAACAGTTTTGTCACAACATGTAACAAAAAAAAAGAAAAAGATGAGTAAATTTCACATTGGGCCATATATTTTGAACATAGTTTTATAATGGACTAGGGGTAAGCCAGAGTGTTCACTTAACACTACATATCTTTACACTGATTTGCGCTTTGGGCTAGGGATGAGCAAGAAGTGGAGCAGCGGGGGTCTCACCAGATCTGGACGGCCGCGGTGGCAGTGGCGGATGTCGTTGGAGATGCTGCGGGCGAGGTCAGGGAGGGTGGCAGCAGCGGGGATATCACGCACGACGTCGGGGAGGGCGGCGCTAGACCAGCGTGGTAGCGAGGTCGGGATGGGCAGTGGACAATGTCGGGGAGGGTGGCGATCAGAGCTTCTGCCGCCGGCCGTGAAGGCGGCGGCCTCAGACGAGACAACGCCCGGTCGCGTGCTCCAAGAAGAAATGAGGCCGCCTCTGGGTCGGTGGGGAATTGGCCAATTGGGGAAAGAGTAAATTTCCTATATCCTTGCAAACTCACTCAATCCCTTTCGTACCCCGTGAAATTTACCCGATCTCCTTTATACCCCCCAAAATTTTAACTTGATCCCTTCCATGCCCCTACCGTTACATTTTCCTTCATTTCACTATTACGTTTGGTTGCAAATATTTATGCCCTTAATGCTTTAGGTTTGAATATAAACTTGAAAAACGATTAAAAAATTTTATTTCGCTGCACAATATGTGCATTTTATGAAACTAATTAGACTAAATAATTAGTGCAGAAAATTTTGACATAAATTTTTAAAATAAAACAAATGTAATAAATTAAATTTTTTATTTAAAGTTTTAATAGGACAACGGGTATTTTGATCGGGAGCATTCATAAAAAATATTGTGAGCGCTGGTAGTCCTATGCATACTCCTTTTTTTTATGACTTTCTTTTAAAAAATAGATACATATTTTTTTATTTATTTATCTAAAAATAAATTTTGTGATAAATAATGCATTGCACAACAAACTCATAACTATAATAGCCTTATGCGATAAACTTTTACATTTTTAATACTGTAATTCATGAATTTCTATGTTCATCCAAAGGGTAAAATGGTCAATTTTTATAGAAATTAGACAGTCAACTAACGGTCAACTGATGGGAGGGGTATGGAAGGGATCAAAATCAAATTTTAGTGGTATAAAAAAAAGTAAGAAAAATTTAGAGGTACAGAAGGAATTAGCAAAATTTCAGAGGTATTGAAGGGATTTTCTCTTTGGGGGAATTGGGGATCATGTGCGGGTCACGTGGCAGGGATCAGGATCTTCCAAGTGACTGGCCTTTATCATTAGCATATGTTATTATATTATAGTCCTATAAACCACCTTAGCTGTGGTATTTACCCTATTTTTTTCATTCACGCCAACGTTTCCTAGACTACTTAACAATATTTTTCTTTAAAAAAATCTATAAGATACCTGTCTCAAAAAATCATATTAATTTATTTTAAAAAATACTAAATAATATTTTTCTTAAAAAAAATCTATAAGATACTTGTTTCAAAATATTTTTTTAAAAAAAATAGCTAACACTTAACGAACTAATCATATGTTGATGATGACCGTAGAGACCCTTAGGGCTACTATTGGAAAAAAAAATTCACAAAACTATAAAAAGCCTTGATCGGGAACTATTCCATGAGGCTGTTGAACATGCTTACGCGAGGTAAGGAAACGTACGGTAAGAGATATGAGCGTAACAATGGAAACGGAAAGAAAATAGACAAGCGAAGGGGGATAACTCATGGATCCAGGCCAGCTGGTGTGCAGCCGTCAGCCGAGAATGATTGACAAAGGAGAAATAGGGCCGAACAATCTCAACAAGATATGAAACAAATCCGAAATCCTAAACAAATGGCTCAAAATCTATTTAGGGCTTAAACATTTTCAGGTAACTGAAAAGTCGACCTATGGCCATGCCATTGACTGATTTGCAGAGTGAGAGTATCTGAAAGTTATTTTGACGTAACTTAGGAACAATATGATTTTACAAGCAGGGTCTGTTCATCTAACATCGAAAATGCAGGACTGAAGGTTTGCAAACTTTTCATGAACGATATCACATCCTTTGTCGTTAGTTGCTAGTCTTTCAGCAGCTCACTTTCTACCTTAGAAAGACGGGATATAATTTCATCTGAAGGCACAACGGGTATCTTCAGTTCTACGGATGAGGGAACCCTTTCAATGATATACTTTCTGATAGCAACATAAGAACAGTAAGCCTCCCAGTCTGACTTTGGATAAAATTCTCTCCTAAAAAAATGTAGAATTCTCTCTTTGACACCAAAATTATTCCACCATTCTTGATAATCACGGGTTCCAGTGTCTTGTGTGATGCACGCCACCAAGTCCTTCCCAAAACCACGAATTCGGTTGTCCAGTGTAAGGCACTGAAGCGAAGTTGCGTTCTCAAGGATATAAAATATCAGCTCCACTAGTTCCTGCTTGTGGCAAAAACCGGTTACTGTCACATGCTTGATGCTCTGGTGGCTATGTTCTGGTGACAAATGTATTTTTAGGTATTTAGGATTAAAAACCAATGGATAGGGTTCTTTAGCAGACTCCTCCACCTGCACAGTAAAAAGGAAAGGAAAACGATATCATTCATTCTTAATGATAAAATGACAAGGGAAACAACTTAAGGATGAAAGAAGACAAAATTTTGCTTTGAGAGATAAAATGTCATACGTGCAAGATAAAAGTTTCCAGCACAGGAGAAGCTCTGAGGAAAGTAACCAGATAAGCGTACTGATAGCCAAAGCCATAATCCCTTGGTCCAACAATCGCAAGCTCCAGATACTTGAGGTGCAGGAATCTTCCATGCGGTTGAACTATGAGTGGATAGAAATAACCAACCTCATTCGCAGACATCAGGAACAGAGTTTCAACGTTTGGGGCAACTGTTGGGAGCTCCTTGCGAGCATATTCAAACAAATTAAACCAAGGGTAGATTGATATGTTTACATGCTTCAGTTGCAGTGAATCTCCAAGTGACAACTGTATTAGGGGCCCTTCATAGTAAAAGGTGGAGAGATTTGGAGCATCACTCATTATTAACTGCAGCAAGTTGCATCGTCTGACCCGCAAGAAATTAAGCAGCTGCAGTGTGCAAGGTATTTTAAACAATCTATCTCATGGCAAAACCCAAGTTCCAGATGCTCTAGACTAAGAGAATTATAAAGAAAGGTCCATAGTTCTTCTGTGGTGATATGCACCAAGCTAAAATAAGCTCTCTTCAAGTTTCTGAAGGAACAAGCTCCTAGATCAGGGCGAAAAGCGCAGGAGTAGAGACACAGAGACTGAATTGAGCATCCCTTTTCAAACAAGAGTTTACATGGGAATCTATATTTCATTTTATCATCCCGGGGCAGCTCTAGGGTGAGTTCCTCGATCCCAGGGATAGCTGCATCAAGCCAATGGTTGATATGATGGGCAGACAACTCATGAAAAAATTGTAGTTCAAACCTAAACCTCTTCACCCAACCACCAGTGTGGTTTTGCAGAGCAATATCAATCCTCTTGATATATGAATCCATTTGACCTTGTATACAATTGTGTTGTCCATCCATGGATAATGTTTTGGCACTGAATTTGAGCTCAGGATAATGTCTCCAGGACCGTAAAAGTTCTCGTGAGGCACAGGCAGGAGAGCAATTATCTGATGCAACACATCCTGAGCAAGAGATACATAAAAGACAACTTCAACAACAGGATGGCAAGAGGACGAAGTTGAGTTGGACAAAGTGATAATGCTTATAAGAGAAAAACAACAGATAGAAAGGCATGTCATAAAGTTGATAGTGCTATAACATTCCTATTCTATTATTCCAGTAGCATTATTTGTTTACTTATTTGCTGAAGTAGCTATGCCCTGATTCAGAAGAGCTGAAACAATGCCTGAATGTATGCATATCATAATTTTGTTTCAGGGCCATGCACTGGCACTGCTGAATCTTTTATGCTCTCCAGAATGTTTTGCTAAAATGTGAACTAGATCGCCCTCTCGGCATTATGTTATGTACCTGTGGGAGCCTGTCCAGTGTGAGATGTGGTCCCCTCTTGGCATTTCCAGACCTGCTGCGTGAATCCTTTCTTCCCATGTCTGAAGCACTCGATCCATCTACAGCACAGCAAGCATCATGATAAGGAACAAATCTGGTCTGCTTATAGAAAAGAAAATGATGGGGAAAAAGGGAGAAAACCAGTGTTACTTGGACAGTGTCCGAATTGTTTGGCCAAACCGGACACCTGTGTCCGTGTCCAGGTAACACCGGGGAAAACACTAGACTGGCTATATAATATAAGGAAGCAAAATCACACAGAAGTACAGAACCATTTGATTTAACTGTTCAGGTTGGTTTGCGTTTTCATATAATATATATGCACCAACCCCAACAGCACCAGCCGCAGCTCACTCTAGCCTACCTGCCTCCTCTGCCACCACACATCCTCTCTTCCCCTTTCACAGGCTTCTATATTCGCACCTGCTGCCACCCCACCCAGCTCAGCTTTGGCAACGCTTCATGCCACCACACATGACTGCCGCTTGAGCTAACTTTTTCGAAGCCGAACCCTCCATTGCCTGCCCCACTCTATGGCTGTGAAAAAAGCTCAAGGCTCGCAAGCTATTCATACTCGACTCATTATAAGCTCGGCCCCAGGCTACAACGAATCAAGCTCGAGCTTCAACTAAGGCTCATATCCATTAACGAACAGAGCTCAAGTAGCTCAACAAAGGCTCGAGGCTTGAGTGCGTGTTTTTGTCTCCGTGGCTACTGCTGTACTACTGCAGGAGTACTAGTACTGCTACTATGCTGGCCAGCCGCAGCGTCCATCTTTATTTAAACAATTAATATTCCAACGTTCAAATCTAGAGGCTAATACCTCCGTCCCATCCTAGGTTGCTATATTATGGGACGGAGGGAGTAGCTAGTTGCAGTACTTGTGCAGCCTTTTGTCAGTGTTAGTGTTTATTCTCTTGATGGTGAACGCATGTGCTTGCATTTGTTGTTCCTCCTGGGCAAGCTCGAGTAGACTCGAGGCTCGTTCGAGCCAAGCCCGAGCTTAACTGCAAACTCGAGGCTGTTCGAGCTCGGCTCTGAGTTCATAACGAGCTCGAGCCTAATCATATAAACTCGCTCGAGCTCGGCTCGTTGACAGACCTACCCCACTCAACCATCCATCCTCATCGCATGGAGGGAGCCTCCCTGTCCCGATCACCAATTCCACCACTGGCCCATCAACCTCCCGACCATCAATTCCTCCCCAAATCCAGAACCCTAACCCTACTGGCTCAATTGCTAATCGCCGCTGCCACAACCGACCCATTGATCTCCCTGACCACTAATTTATCCCTAATTCCTCCCAAATCAAGAAGCCTAATCCTACTGGCTTAACTGCGAGCGACAGCACCGGAGTGGAACCAGAGCTGAAGGGGACGAGGCCGGTGCACAGGGGTAAGATTCGCATGATTTTGTCCCCGAGAATATCTTTTCTTACACTGTAAACAGATTACAAGTTGACGGAGAAGAGGGCGATAAAAGTTTGAGCTTTCTGTGCACAGATCGATGACGATGCCCTTTAACTTGATGATTTAGCTATATAGGTCAGTGGATCTGGTTATAGTAGATTAAAGCAGAGAACAAGCTGAAAATTTAAAAGAGGCATACCGGCCTGGATTCGCCGCCGCCGCCGCCGGCGGCGGCGTTTCATGGACATGATCCTCGCCAGACCCAGCATCCCCATCTTGTAATAGACGACACGACACGACACGGAGAAGTTTCCAAGTGTTGTATAGTACTACTCTACTCTAGTCCTGACGCCGACTCGTAAAGTTGTACTATCTCCGTTTTGAAATGTTTGACGCCGTTGACTTTTTAGCACATATTTAACTGTTCGTCTTATTAAAAAAAATAAGTAATTATTAATTCTTTTCCTATCATTTGATTCATTGTTAAATATATTTTTATGTAGGCATATAATTTTACATATTTCACAAAAGTTTTTAAATAAGACGAACGGTTAAATATGTGCTAAAAAGTTAACGGTGTCACGTATTTTGAAACGGAGGGAGTACTGATCGGAAGCAGCAGCGACTCCTGTCCTCCCCATCGTCTCTTGGTGCAAGGAGCTACGGCGGCGGCTGGAGCCTGGAGGGGAACGGGGCAAGTAAATCGTGTTCAGGCACGGCCAGGGAGACGAGGGATGTATAGCCCGCCCGGCCCAGCAAGCCACGGGCCCTCTGGTGGCACGGCAACTGTAGCGGGCCGTGCCAAGGCCTTAGCCCAAGCACGGCCAAAAGAGATGCTGGGCCGTGCCGGGCCAGCACGGCTACTGTTGCGAATTTTTTTCATTTTTAATTTATTTTGTTTTAATATTTACAGAAATATTATACCGACGAAAATATTTACAGAAATAGAGGGCGACAGGGTGACGTGTGTGATTGAAGGCCGCTGAGCGGGCATGCAAATTTTCCATGCGACGAAAATTGCATTTACCGGGCGGCAAGGGACCTAAGCGCAAAATACACGCACGGCGTCATCTTGCATGTCATTTTGCCGCCCTCCACTTGGGCGGTAGGGTCTATTTTTGTAAATATTTTCGCCGGTATAATATTTCTGTAAATATTAAAAAAATAAAAATGAAAAAAAAAAATCCTACTGTTGCGGCACGTGGGCCGGCACCAGCACACGTGACCCATAAAAATTTGAAACTTGAGGGGAAAAAAAGAAAGAAAGGGAAAAAATAATAATACGAAGGAAAAAAGGATGCATATAGGATTAATGTGAGGAAAATTTAGGGAAAATTGGAAATATAACCGAAAATATACAGTAAAAATATGATAAAATGTGAAAAAATAAAAAATATGAGAAATATAAGGGGAAAATAAAAAATTGTAGGGAAAATAATTGGGCCGGACCATCGATAGGCATGCCGTGCCGTGTCGGCCCTAAGATGCTGGCCCAAGCACGGGACGGGCAAACGGATCGTGCCCGCACGGCCCATAGGCTGGCATGTCGTGCCATGCCTGGGCCGGCTACAATAAGGCCGTGCCCGGGCCAACCCAGCATGGCTCAGCCTATTTGGATAGCTATAATCGGATGGGAATGGGATCATGAGGAGAGAGACCGCAGTGGGTCCTATTCCCTCCTCACATTCTTGGCATGTTGGTTTTTGGAATTGGGTAAATTTGATTTAAGCCATTAGAAATTTACTATATTGGAAAACATCATCACTATTCATGTATTTGAAAAATTGTTATTACAGTTTTATAGTTATTCAATATATGGCACTACTTACCTCATCAATGCATTTTGTTAAAAAAAAAAGTTAGACCAAAATACCATTTTTTGGGGGAAATTTAACTATTTGTCACTATTATGATTGCCAATTATCCAAATACTCATCTTAGATTTGCCTTTTTTTTTTTTGCCCCTCTAAGGTGATGACTTCTTTAACTATTTTCTACTTTTACCCATGTGGCATGCCAACGTGACCACCTAGTGTAAAAATCGATGTGAGACCCACTTGTTAATCTCACAAACACTTCCCTTCCTCTCTCCCTCTGTTCCGGCTAGCCCCGCTGGCTGCCAGTGCTGCTCCGGCTAGCCCCGCTGTCGTCCCTTTCATAGATCCTCGGTGGTTGATGGCTGCGGTGTTGCTGGACCATGGGACGATAACTCCGGTGCTTGGTGGGTCCCACTCCACACCACGCTCCACGTGATCGTCGCCCGCTTCCCGACCGTCTCCAAGCTCGCCCTCAAGTGCGACTATCGCGCTGAGGGCGTCACCAACCCCACGTTCGTGCTCCTCGTCGACCGCCTCGACCCGACCCTTCAACGACTCAAGCTCCGCTCCCTCCGCCTCGTCACCGATTACGGCGTCGTCGTGCTCGCTGTCGCCGCCACTAGCCTCCGCAAGCTCTCCATCGCCTCATGCACCTTTGGTGCCAAGGGGATCGAGGTCGTCCTCCGCTCCTACCTCCAACTCAAGGAGCTCTTCGTCAATGCTGCCTCCCACCTCCAGGACAACGGGGCTGATTGGAGCAGCGCTGACAGCAAGTGAGGCTAGCCGGACCGGAGGAAGAGAGGAAGGGGAGAGTTGTGAGACTGACAGGTGGGTCCCACATTGAATTTTTACACTGGGGTGCCACGTTGGTATACCACATAGGCGAAAGCGGCAAATAGTTAAGAAGCCACCACCTTATAGGGGAAAAAATAAAAGCAAATCTAAGCGTGGTGTTTGGATAAGTGGCAAATATAATAGTAGCAAATA